CTGCACTGTTGTCTGTAAAACCTTTCTCCCACTTCTGGTTGGAGCAGTTCCCAGGATTATGGAGACACCAGGTGTCCTATATAGGTAGTTGTTGTTGTTGCTGAGCTTGCCACAACCTGTTGGCTATTAGGTCTGAGAGCCTATTTTGACCTGCATGATGCCACAGTTAGTATTATTTTTCTGTGGGACCAGTACAATGCACTGAGCTCAGTGAGTGCATGTTGTCCCTGCAGTCTTAAAGTCTTTTCCACACTGTGGGAAATGGTTCCTGATGTGCCACTACTGCAGTTTTTAATCTGCTGGCTGTCAGGTCAGAGGGCTACCTGCACTTGTCTTTAGTGAAACCTGTAGGATACCACAGTATTGCAGTTCACTGAGCCAGAAATGAGTTCACTCCCATCTCCACGCATGCACAGTCCTTTCCCATAGCCTTTTCCTCCTTAAACAAAATGTTGCCTAATTCACCTTTAGGAGGTGTACTGGGATGTGAAATCCACCCTGTTCTCGCCTTGTCTATCTGGGATCTGCTGCTCTCTCTGCTCCTGGTCAAATCGAATGGACTAGGAAGATGGACAGTTCTTTGGGTTCACCTCCTGAGCTCCCATTCAAAGTCCCTTCCCACCTGGTTGCTGGTGGAGGTCTGGCTGCTGGTGGAGTTCAGATACCGTTTGCTGAATGCTGCTGGGTATCAGTCACTGCAACACCACACCATTGTTTTCACTGCTTTCCTGTGTCTGTCAGTCTCCAGGTACCCTCTGCTGTTGTTCTGTCCTCTCCCGTTTCCTGGAATGTGCCCTCTCTGCTTCACACTGGCTAATATTTCTCTGTTTAAATGTGTCTCTACCCTATTCCACTATCTTGATTCTCTTAAAAACTTTTAAAGTTTAATTTTACTGGTAGGTGGCAGTGTTTTTATTTGCTATTTCCCTTGTATGTCACCTATTTTTTGGCAGAGTGTGACATGTTTTGGTGCGAATGTTTTTGGTTTTTTTCACTTGATGTCAAGTTACTTGTTTGGTTTCTCAGTCTAATTGTGAGTTTTTTTGTTAAAGTAGGTTACCCTAACTCTGTATTATTGCTCTTGAATATGCAAGTGATATACTGAATTTTAGAGAATGGATTTATTGATTTGGGACACATTAGGTTTGTTATGTATAAAAAGTCTAAATAAAGCCAACTTATAAGAATAAAATAGTAGAAATAAACCTGGAGCTTCATACTTGATGTTAACATTTTTGTTTTGTTGTACTTTATTTTGTGGTACTTGTTCACTATAATACAGAAACATATATTTTAATCCTATAAATTGATTGGCTGTTTTAATGCGTATTTTGTCATTCAATAATATGTTGTGGCCATCTTTTATGTCAATGAGTATAGACATCAGGAACGGTTTTGTAATGAGTTTGTTATGATCATTTTAAAAAATTTTAATTATATTAGTATTTTTGAATTTTATGGTACAATTGCTTAGGGTCTGGGATTTTCCTAACCCTTCTCAAAATTCCCAACTCCCGACTGATTTTCCCCATATTATTACATAAGCAGTCATATATCAGTCTGTTAAGATTTTTCAAAGTAACATTGTAAATGCAAAGAATATGAACATGGGAACTTTTACTACTGTTAAGCAGCTGTTCATATAAATTGACTCAATTTATATTCCCTTCAATGATACAAGATGGTACTTATTTTTCTCTTCCCTCACAAACACCAATTTTTATTCAATGAGATATTTTATTCAATGATATATTGCTGGTGAATGTTTTATTCACATTTTTTGACTATTTGAGTGAATAATGCTATCTCTTATTAACGTTTTTCTTTTATTCCATATTTGCATTTCTTATACATTTATCCTTTATACTTTCATACATTTTTATTTAATTTTGAAAAGATTTATTAATTTATTTGACAGAGAGTGTCATAATGAGATATGGAGAGACAGAGGGATCTTAGATCTGTGGTTCACTTTCCAAGTGTTTATAATAGTTAGGACTGGTCCAGACTGAATCCAAGATCTAGAAACTCCATTTGGTGTTCCCACATGGGTATGAGGGATCTCAGTATGTGCATCTTCACTCACTGCCTTCCCAGGTGCCTTAGCAAGAAGCGGGATCAGAAACCAGTGTAGCTAGTACTGAAATTGATACTTGATATTAGACCTGGGTGTCCCTAGTGGCAGTCCAGTGCACTTCACCACAATGTCTTACCCCTACGTTTTTATTTTGAAGTGTTTGAAATATGCATTTAAAAAAATTTAGCAATTTAAAATACGTAAAAGAACTGCTAAATAGCATGGACCATGTCATCATCCGTGGATAGATGTAACTGTGACCCTAGCTAGATGATTGATTGAGATCTTTAACATGAAAGATCACAGATTTTCTTTTTTCTTTTTAAAAAATATTTAAAATATTTGTATTCTTACTGTTTGGTGCTGACCCTAGTTCATGAAACTCTTGGCTGAATGAATGAATGATCATATAAAGGAGTAGAGCAATTGATGGCTCTGAGTGTTGTAAGGATTTGTTTTGCTGAGCAGAGCAGTGATTTGTTCAGGGATTTCCTTCTGTATCTTCTCACTTTGTATTTTTCTCAGTAACGAAGTGACCATGTTTAAAGGTAGAGTGCCAACAGAGAGAGAAGACTCACAGAAATCTTCTATCCATTACTTCACTCCCTAAATGGTCACAATGGCAAGTGCTAGGCTGGTCCAAAGCTAGAAGCAAGAGCTTTTTCTGATTCTCCCATGTGGGTGCAGTGACTTAAGCACTTGGACACGTCCTCTGCTTTCTGTCCAGGTTAGCAGGGAACTAGATTGGAAGTGTGTCAGCTGGGACTTGAACAGCACCAATATGGGAGGCCAGTGCTGCAGCTGGACATTTATCTTGCAAGACACTGGTCCCAGGAAATATCTTTAGCATTTTCTCTTATCTCTCAGTCATTTCCCAAAAAAATGAAGTGATGGAATGTACCATGTAGCTTGTTTGATTCCAGTGAGTGCTTTTAAAGGCATGATTTCCAGAAGAACAATGTAAATATTTTTAAAATGTGCACCCGCTAATAACTTTTTGTATTGTGTGGAGTTTACGATGTTGGATATACTGACATAGTATTTTGCTATATATCTTGTGGATAACTTCTTTGTGACAAAATTATAATTTATAACTCTAAGAGAATAAAATGTGAAAAATGCCTTTTGTCAGAACAAGCAATACTTATTGGGTTTTGCACATACATGTTGAGATAGTGTTATGTTATCCAAAACAAAATTCTGTTCTTGGATTCTGACATCTGAAAGCCACGAAGAAGAATAAAATATCAAAAATTAAGGATAGAATTACCTTCTGTTGACAAAACTTTCCTGTAGTTCCTTTACCTCGGGAAGTGGCATCATAGCACTCCTGGAAACTGATGAGACTGCAGTGGGGAAGATATGAGACGCTATTCCCACAGAGAAAGTGAAGTCCATTTCACAAACGTAATGGTGTACTCAACAGTGACGTGCAAAACTGTGTAGTGCCCAGGTTTTATGATCTGTTAGTCTTGATTAGAAAATAGATAACATTACCTGAGTCACTTAGATAAAAGTGAATTTTGAGGGCTAGGGAGGGGTTTATTAGATGTTTATTTCAGATCCCAACATATGTAATCTATACTGTATTTATATTCTAATTGCAGACTGGTTGCTGGTTCCTGAATGAATTTTACTTAAATCTGGTTAGCTCTAAGTAACCTAGATGTTTACTAGCTATAGTTAAAGGTTGTAGATCGAATCAAACTAATTTGCAGAGTCTAGGAGTTTTTGACTTTAATTAGAAACCTAAGTTCATTATTGCTTTCAGTTGGACACCACTCGTTGCCATCCTCACATTTTGGAAAGCATACAGCCTCACTAACAAAGTTTCTGTGTTTTCATGCAACTAAAAATGTGCTGTATTTAGACCAAACAATAAAAATAAACTACCAAGCTACCTTCTAATGCATGGGGGTTCTGCAGAGAGGAAACCATAGATATTTAGAGGCATAAAGTGACTCATTGTGCTAGTTAAAATGTTTTAAAAGCCTGGCTTCGTGTGTTTGAGTTGCGTCTGTTCCCTCTTCAGCCAAAAGTAAAGTGTGTACAAGGAAGAGATTTTTTTAATTCAGTTGTGGCTCATGCAGAATGCATGGTATCCAGTCCAGGCATCTAATGAGTTTCAAGCCTTTGTCAGGATAAAAACCGTCTCTTTTCTTACTAATTCTACTTACAGGTAGTCCGTTTGAACATATTCAGGATATTCTCTGTGAAGTTAATTGATCTGAAATTGTAGAAATAAAATAAGCATTTTAAAACTATAACTTCTAAAGAGGAAATAAGCCTTTTTTAAAAAAAGATTTATTTTTATAATTTTTTTTTTATTGGAAAGGCGGATATACAGAGAGGAGAGACAGAGAGGAAGATCTTCCGTCTGATGATTCACTCCCCAAGTGAGCGCAACGGGCCGATGCCATGCCAATCTGAAGCCAGGAACCTCTTCCGGGTCTCCCACGCGGGTGCAGGGTCCCAAAGCTTTGCTTTCCCGGGCCACAGGCAGGGAGTTGGAAGGGAAGCGGGGCTGCCGGGATAGAACCGGCACCCATACGGGATCCCGGGGCATGCAAGGCGAGGACCTTAACCACTTGCGCCACCGCGCTGGGCCCCGAAATAAGCCTTTTATAAGCCTATTTTCTTTTTATATTGAAAATTCTCATTTGTTTTTACTTATTTGCCCTTTTAGCCACTTACTTTAGACTGACAATTTTTATAAGAGCTATCTAAGATATTGTTTTCTTATATATAGAACAATGCAATAACTATTTTGGCATTGTAATTTTGGAAAAGAATTTTCAGAGTAAGTGGGAACAATTGCTTGGGTTAAAATTAATGATTTGTATTTAGAATGTATACTTCAATAAAATGCATAAATGCAAACGTACTTATCCTTTTTCATTTCATTATCTCTCCAAATTTTCAGGTCAATTTCATGAATTCAAAGGCAAATTACCAGTGATTTCTGGGTGCTGGGGCTGACGTTTTTGTGTGTGTAATTGTAAGTATTGGTTTCTTTTATGATTTTTCTCATCGCATAGTGAAAAAAATTACTGTTTGTAATCAATTTCTCAACTTCTCCTTCCTGTTTTAATTTTATTAGTTTCTTTTTAAAGGTTTTCTTAAGAGGAGTATTAGAAAAAAGTGGCAGCTGATGGGAAAAAATTGAGTTTTTGTAATTTGCAGCGGAATAGCACAATGCAGGGCCCACTACAGTAGGCCGAAAGATAAATATCTTACTTTTTGAGATGGGGGCTCCATTGTAGTGTTGGGTTACCTTAAAGAGTCTAGTCTATATACACATGAATAATTTACTCTGATAACTTCTTACATCTTCTGGTTATCTGGACTTGAAAAGTGCTACGTGCCTGTGCTCTTAGAAAGATGTGAGATCATACAGAATTCAAAGAGCTGTCAGTACATGGGGAGATTATGTGCTGAGGAGCCAAAGACTCATTTGGTGAATATGTAATGCAGATCAAAACTGTGGTATTTCTACCCTGTTTCCTATCCCCAAAAACTCTGTTATATTTTTAACAGTGTTTGGAAGAAAAAAGGTATCTTTCTCTCAGGAAACAAGATAAATTTAAAGAAAAATAATACAATGAAATTCTAAGATCTATTAAAGTACTGTAAGTTAACTGATATGTTTGCCATATAGAGTATGTAGCAAGTATTAAAAATGTTTCTGTGAATATAGTTCTGTATTTAAATAACTTGAGTTTAAAGTATATTTCTAATTGTGCATTGTTGGAAACTGCATTTCCATTTAAGGGACTCTTACATTTGGTAACAGCAAAGACATAGGAAACTCTTTGTTAGTATAATGCTGTAAAGAAGAGTTGCGAACATACTTTTAGGAAAGTCTTTGAAAAAAAACATAATAAATTATAGTTTAAGTGATTTAAGCAGAAAGGCATCAACAACTTAAGATCAAGTTTATCTTTTTTTATGTGGTATTATTACTTGATATAAGCATTTTTGAGCCAGATTTTTAAAAACTAGTTACACATTTTAATATATTTGTAATGGTATAAGAATGAATAAATTGTTATTTTTACAAAATTGTATCAATTTATGTTTTATTATTTAAAGTTCCCATTCTTAGGTAATATAAAATTATATAAATTGCATGGTTCATTTTAATTAAACATTTGTGCAAGGTGTCATGGTGAGGATTAGGAGGCAAAGTAGATAGAGAAAGAAATGTGAAGTATCTTTAAGGACTTGGTGAAAACAGAGGTCTTAGGAAGCTGAGCTAATCTTTTTAGAACTCTAAATGAAGAGAAACAACTTGGCACCGTCTGAATTTTACCTTAGTTGCTTTGTCTTTTGCTTCTTTTCTTCTCTTAAATTGTTCACTCATTTGCTTTAAAGGTTTTTAGGATGATTCAGTTTTTAAAATAACAATCATGATTGCCAGTTTTTTTTTGACAAATGTAACCTTCAATGTAATATAGCTTATGGTTCCATCACTCAGAGGCCCCGTTGCCAGAGTTCTTTACTTCTTCCTTCACATCCTGATAAACATATACTAAATATGAACGGAAGTCATCCAGTTAGCTGAAGATTGCTTGTGACTTAACAAAGGAATAAATACTAAAAATTGGAAGCAGCAGCATTATTGATACAGTTCTCTTATGGTTATTTTTGAAGTTCAATTTTAAAAAAGACAAAGCACATAGTAAGATCTTATCTGGCCACTTAGGTAGAAGTCATGCTAGTGATGCATGCCCAAAGCAGTTATTACTAGCCTTGAGCATTTCCACATGTTAGTTTAGTTCCTTTGGTTAGTGATTTCAAGCTTTGTGAAGACCGACTCCAGACTGAAAATCTTTTTGTTATAGAAAAGTGCCAGCTAATATGACTAAGATACATCAGATAGAATGAATGTGGGCATCCAGTCCATTTGCACTTGTAATTTTTTTACAGTTGTTTTATTTACTTGGAAGGCAGAGATAGAGAGAGGGGTAGGTGCACTGGGGGGAGAGCAATGTCTTCCACCTGCTGGTTCACACCCTAAATGGCTGCAATGGCTGGGGCTCACCTCAGGGGAAGTAAATTGCCCAGAATTTCCTCCAGATCTTCCACATGGGTGGCAGGGACCCAAATCAGGTGCTATCCTGATTCCTAGCCCCATTAGCAAGGAGCAGGGGTGGAGGTAGAGCAGCTGGGGTTCAAATCATTATCCATACAGGGTGTTGGCATCACAAACACTGGCTATACCCACTGAGTCACAATGCCAGTTCTGAGTTTCTGCTTCTTTCATTTGTTATGGAATCAGCACCTCATCTATACTGATAGATTGAAGTAGCTAAAACAATAGAAATGTGTGTCCAATCTGGCCCGAGAACAAGCAAATGGTATCAGTGACAATGGGTTCTTTTATGTACCCTTATTTCCATGTCCTGGAACTGCTCATCTGCTACATGATCTAAGGCAGAAAGTTATACCTGGTGGCCATGGGAAGGCTTCTTGGTAAGTTGTGCAGAAGCCGGTGTGAGATAAGGAAGGTGGGATATTGTTTTGCACATTCATAATGAATGGGCCACACCAAGAGTGTGTGAGAACCGATTGGAATCTTATCTACTTACATCCTCTGCCCAGGTCAGAAGAGGAAAACGTTGTCAAGGCAAATGGCTGTCTTTTAAGTAACTGTTTTTCTCTTTTCCCAAAGTAGATATTGTGTAAGAATATCATGTTTTGCTTGTCAATTTCATTTAATTTTTCATTTTTAATGAAAAATTATGTATTTCTGACATCTAATTTTAATACAGTAATAAATGAATATATGTTTATGTATATATATCAAAGCAGATATAGTTCATGATATACTCTGGGTTTTTGGATTACTGAAGCTATTTTAGTAGTTTGATAATGAATTCCTTTTTATAAAATTCTTGGTTTCTGTTCTTGGTAACTAATAGCAATCTTTTCCCTGAGTTTCTGGACAATTTTTTTTTTTTGGTCTGGCATAAAAAGTGCTCATTGTCTAACCCCAGGCTTGAGGTATTAATAAATAACAACAGTATCTTAAGTTGGTATGACACTTGATTTTGCAAACCTTAAATGGACTGAATTCCAAAAATTGTGGAATGAGTAAGAATTTCTTCATTTTGCCACAGTAGTGGGATCCAGCCTAGAATTCATAACATAAATGCAGCGTTCCTTCTGTAACACCATGTTCTTCTCTTTCAGACATTTTTTTCCTCTTTCTGTTGTTTTTGATCACTGTCCCAGTGTTCACTTAGTTACTATAGAAACATTTTTAAAAAATATAGAGAAAGTCAAGGAAGAGACTGTGCAGAGCCTTCTACCACTTCTACATATTTCTAGAGAGTTTGATTCCCTCTGACTTTTTCCTACTCCTTTCTTGCTATGTGTTTGCTGAAATGTTTTGAATTGTAAAGATTAATTCAGAAACAAACAAAAGGAATCATTTGGTGCAGTGTTTAAGATGTCGTGTTGGAGTGGCAGGATTCCCATCCTGGTTCCAATACTGATTTCACTTTTCTGCTAATGCGCACGCTAGAAGGCAGCAGAAGCTGGCTCAGTACTCGGGTCCCTGCCACAAGTGGGAGATTGGGATTGATTCCCCACTCCTGGTTATTGGAGGGATTCAGGATGAGCCATCGGATGGCGTTTCTCCCACTGCCTCCCCTTCCTCGCAAATAAGTAAGATAAACAAAAAAAGTTTTTTTTTTAAAAGATCACGAATTCATGTATTCATGTCTTTGTGATATTTTAAAATGGAAAGAAATCTGTTTCAAATTGAGCAGAGCCTAGACCAAAGCTCCCTCAGTGAGAACATCTGTGATTTTAAAGACAAGTAGGTCTAAGTGCATTATCTTTAAAAAAAAGAATACTATTCCAGGCTAATCTTGACATAGAGCAGGTAAATAAAAAAGATGAGCTGTGAAAATCCACAAATAGGGCTTGAATGCCATTTTCCATGACAACGGGAGCTGCCCCATGAAAGCATTAATGCTGGGAATGTAAGGAATTTAAAATTGTGCCTTCTCAGTTTTACAGTTGTGTGCTCATGTTAATTAGAGATATACTGACATTTGAAGTATCTACGTTAATACACACAGCTACTATACATTTGTGAACTGTAGCCAGCTATCTAGTTTAATTGAAAGGAGTTTACGTGTCTGAATATATGTATCCATTACATTTAAGCTTTTAAATTTTGTATATTAGTATCCTTAGATGTTCTTTATGCTAGCTCTACATTTAGCTTCTTATTTATACCTGAAATCATAGCCTGGACTATATTTAATTTCCTGGTGGTGTTTTGGAGCAATATTGATGGAATTTTGAGGAAAAAAATGTTTTAATGGTGTTCTTTATTTGCTATAATTTTGAATCTTTTCCCTCTGACTTATAAATTGTTAGTTTTTCTTGCAAACCTTTGAAATGGTCTGCCACTGAAATAAGGTAGGATTTAGGTTTATGGAATTTGCTTCACTGGCTAATTTAAGCACACACACAAAAAGCTACTCTTTATGGTCACACTATGGCTTTAGCCAGAAAAGCCCAGTATTAGAGACCTTGATGAGATGAGCAGTGAAGAGGCATTCTGGTTTTTCCAGGATAGCTGAATTTTCATTCTTCCATCTTGATGCCAAACCATTTATTTTAGTTTTTGATTTGCAAATGTGTTCATACTGGCTTGATGCCTTCTTGAGGTCATCTTTAACTCTAGAATTGTTCTGTTTATTTTACACTTAAAGCAAGACCTTACATCTATTTTTGCAAGCTTGTATTTCTTAAGAATCTGCCTGTCAGGAATTTTAAACATAATTGTTTTGTGCTTGTTGTCTAATGAAACTCCCACACTTAATTTTTGGACCAATCCCTGAATATTACACAAGACCTGTTAGAAAGAAGCTTCCTTTTTTTTTTTTTTTTTTTTTTTTTTGAGCACCAGAACAAGCTGCTCTAAAAAGGTCTGTAATACTCTGGACTTGTTTCATTAAACCATTTTACTGGCATCAT